AAAATTAACATCTTTGCTATTGACGGAGGCTTTTGCTAATCAAAGGTGTGTGTAAGAGTGGGGCATCAAACCGAATAATATTCGAAATGGCTTTGGGAAAGAAGACCTCAGGGGAGGTTTCGAAAACGATCCTGCTGCTAACTTTTCATCTAGGAAAGGCTGTGGCATTACCGAGTCTGTCAGGTGGGCCAAAAGGTCGACGAGCCCAGAGTAGCTTGTATTGCAGGAAGTACGTAATAGCATAGAGACGCTGTTCAGAGAAAAAGATGTACCTGACACTGTTGCTCGTGCTCAGAAACTTCCGATTTCCTTCTTCCAACTTGTTCGCTGAGCAGACCCTAGTAGAATGAACCTATCCTCACAAGCTGACGCTCAGATACCTCAACCAGATCATATCAATGAAATAACACTAAACGATCCTACTCTATATAATTCGCTAATCTGAGTGTTTGTGTGTCGGTGTGGGTGTCCGACCGGAAATTCTTAACTCCTGTCCCCTTGGGCCTAGAACGTTCAAATTCGGTTGGAGTGCGTGGGGCAGGATGGGAACACTGATGGTGGGTGGTAGGACCGGACTCCGTTCACAGGGGGCGGGTCTATGCAAAAAAAAATGTTTGAGCGGAAAATCGTAGCTCCTGTTCACCTGCACCGAGAACGTTCAAACTTGGTAGTAGTGCGCGGGGCAGGATGAGATTACTTATGGTGGGTAGCAGGACCGGATCCCGCCCACAAGGGGCGGGGATGCGCGATAGAAATTCCGGGCTGCAATTGCATAACTCCTGTTTACGTGGATCTGGAGCGTCCAAACATGGCAGGATTACTGGAGGCAGGATGGGAACATGTGTGGTGGGTGGCAGGACCAGACTCCGCTCACAAGGGGTGGAGTTTTGTGCCGAAATCGCAAATTTGGACCTAGGGCGTTCAAACCTGGTAAGAGGTAGGCGGTAGTATGGGAACACTTATCGCAGATGGGAGGACCGGACTCAACCCCCAAGGGACGGGTTTCCCGCGAAATAAATGTCTGAATGGGAATCCATGACTCTTGATCCCATGGACTTGAAGAGCAAAATCAATAGGAGGAGGCAGGATGGGAACGCAGACAGAAGAAGAGGCCACTCACCAGTCAAATCCACAGGCACGAAAATTCAGTCCGGCACTCTGCTCTTACAGTAAACCGTCACGTGTTAACGCGTAAATTTTACCCGTCACATATACGACGCGTCGAAACGAGGCTCTGGGCAAGGGCACGGTAGTGGGTGGTGGGGCAAGCCAGGGGTTACTGTAAGAGCCGAGTGCCGGACTGAATTCTCATTTTAGTGTCAAATCCTAGCGACTTTGTTATTTACGATATAGATTTGACTTTTTGATATGTTTCATTCGGCAAGAAGGGTAAGTGGTGTAATTATGATCAGATGAACTTTTTCCACTTCTTGCTATTGGATCCCGACCGCTTTCTCGAAAAAGAGCTACATTTCCAAAGACATTTGATAATCTATCCTCTAGTTCAGCGAAACAGCGTAATAACCAACAAAGAAAAGGGACATAATTTCATTAGTTCGAAGTTTTTCGGGCGAAGTACCTTTGCCTCAAAAAGGAGGAGAGCCTGGCGTCAGCCGGGCGATCCCACTGGTATAACTTATTTCAAAACTATTAATAGTGAAACTCCTTCATTAGAAAAATGGGCTCAACCACTTTGCAGAAAAATAGTTGGTACCTGATTTTTACTACAGCTGCACTTTGCATTTCCGATTACATCTTTTTCTCTAGTAATGGCCCCTATGAAAAATGAGGAGAGCCTTCGATAAATTAGTATCTTACATCACTTAAAGAGGATACTCTTGTTAGAGAACAGTGAAACATGTTTCTTCCTCTCACATAAAGATCTTCTTACGCCTCTTTTTGAGTGCACCTTTGCTTACATGCTCTCCCTTCTCAGGTGTCTACTTCAAAGGAAACTAACAAGACTGTCCTGCTGTGTGGGTCGGGAGACTTGGAAAATAGGAAAATTATCGCCCATTCTGCCTGCTGTGCTTACCTCATAAAGTTTTCAGAGTTATCCTCTAGAGAGTGTTCAGTAAAAATGTTATAAAAATTTACTTTTCGATAAAGGACACAAACAAGTTATGAAAGCATAAAATGTGCACGAATGAGATTTTGAGAAATGCAGTGCAAAACCAGAGGCGGCGAAGTGTCGAAGCACAAAAGAACATTTCCAGGACGTTCCATGGGTTATTTTTCTGTTCCTTATTACACTATGGCCAGTCCTTCGCGATCTGTCGATGTTTTCTTTCTCAAGCAAAAGCTTTATTGCAACATCAGACAAATCAACCAGTTGAATATTATGAAAAACTGCATAACATTGCAAATCAACGAAGCGCAGCAATTTTTCCCAGTCCCTGAACAGAATGTTTATCAAACCCTTTCAATACTTAAGATAAAGGATAAAGTTTTTGGCATTAATCAATCCCGTCTGAGGGATGCGCCCCCGCATCCCTCAGACCGATTGATTAATGCCAAAAACTTTATCCTTTATCAGACGCACTCGACTTCCATTCAGAATCGTAGTGTCGTAGTGACGTAATGAGTGCGTATGTGGCCTATACATACAATGACTTGCGGTGGTCAGCCGATGTACAAGACAGTGCTTTTATCCTCCCAGGCGAGTCTGGTACCAATTCACCGACCCCGGAGGGATGGAAGGCTTGGTTGGCCCAGGCGGGCATCGATCAGCGATTCGAACCCCTGACCGTGCGTGTGATACAGTGCGCCACTTGCCACTACACCACCTCCGCCTCTTTCAATACTTATGTGAACAAAAGAAAGGGTCGCCTGGGTGTCAAACGCTCAAAAGCGTAATGCTTGCGTTGAGCGGGAAGAGGTGATAGTGGAAAGCACAATTCTTGGTTTGGATACTACGTCGGCGATGCGTATAACAACGAATATTGTGCAACGTAAAGAGGGCTGGCTGAATTTAGCAGAGCTTGCGGTTGCGGAAAGACCTGCTGTGATTGAATATGACAAAGAGCTACTTTTCGAGCAGAATAAAAGGAGAGACATAGTAAGCATTAAAGTTGTCGATGGAGTAGGAAAGGCAATAAAGGAAACACTCTAGCTCGATTTAAGCTTAACGACGTGCAGCAGGTAAAGTAAGGGGATTCAGCAAGCATCTTTCAAAAGGCCATAAGAAGGACAGAGCTAGTATATCCGCTATGCGCACAAGCACAATAAGATTGAGAGCTCCTGGCTCCATCAGTGAGTAGAGATCAGGACATGCTAAGAAATCGCATATCAAGAGAACCGGTCAGGTCCATGTGATTTCATGATGACTCCGGGACCTTGGTGGTAAGCGAGTGAATCTCACATGAGTCATATGAATACCACGATAGCCGGGCAACGACCAGCTTCTCAACAAGGCCATAATCTAAAAGAGTGAGAAAGGGTTGTGTTATCAGAGTGAGGATGGTTCACGTTGTCTAGGCGATAGGGGGCCTTATCAAAGCCTGCTCGGGATTAGTCGTCGGGATAGCACGGTATGAGGTGTGCTTCTTTGCGCATTAATAGTCTATTATCGATGTTGTGGAAAAATTTGTTGAGCTCAGTAATGCTCCAATGATTCTTTCATGCACGAGATCCAAAAAATACCCTCTTCAAACCACTTAGTCGTTTGTAACTGTAGAAGTCAGTAAGAATGGCAAGTTGAAGTAGGGGAGGTGGCAGTAGATTCATCGAGCACCGATGCGTATTGCGCCGATGACCATTCCGGAAGTTGGGGAAGTTGGCTGGAAGTCGTCATCCAATTGAAGAATCTACCATTAACTGTGTTTACCATCTGTGCAACCCCTTGAGAACCTAACTCAAGTTCACACTCTTACTCCGTATGTGCATAGGCCTAACAGGTGTGATGATCCAACAGTTAAACATTTGCCATAGCTTTAGTAAAGGGATGACGTCCTGAATTGTAGTTCCCTACTGTTACCAACTTACATCGACTGAAATTATCGCTTTTTGCACCAGGATGAAGAAGGCTTGTTGGACCTTTTGTGAAATGGTTGTAGGATTTAAAACTCTCCCATTTCAGCTAAATGGATCTTAGTAGTAACTAGGCAACTAAAACTGGTGTATATGTAGAGTGCAAAAAGGTTAACGGGCACTTCCACGCATTCAGTTTTCATGCATTGTGGTCGCTCATTGACTCAATCGCTACAAATCTGTGGCCCCTTATACGACGAACTCTCGTAGGTACAATTAACGATTGAAACGGTTTCTAAGTTTCCCCATAGAATGAATTCGAGGCCTCTCCTGATACCGTATTGCCGATGTCAGGTCGAGTAATGTTCTGCAGTACAGTAGGGCACAGTAACGGGCCCAAGAGAGTGTATCGTCTAAATGCCCCACAGATAGTGGACGAGTTTCAGCGGCATGGTAGAGGGTGCACCATTCACAAGGGGACCAAAGTAGAAACAACTTGTTATGGTCTATCGCATCAGTGAAAGGCAACTCTGAACAGTTTTGATTCGATGTAATCAGCTCCTCGCGCAATTATAACGACTGAAATTTCATCCGAATACCCCTTCCATGTCATTTTCGTCATGGTATCCCTACGACCTTCATTATAATGGAAACCTTATTTTCCGCGAAATTGGCGAATTTTCTTGCTTTTTTCACCGTCGATGCACTGATCCCAACCAGCACCACCCCTCTTCGACTTAAAAGGGGTACCTCAAAGTTATCGTAAACTGTGCCTTTCACCGCCTGTATATCTAGTAACATTGGACGAGCCTTTGAACCTGCCAAAAATATAAGCAGTTCGTCTTGTAATGCTCTTTGTAAAATCTAGTGATAGAGTGAAAATCAGGTTCGGGACGGTCTACAAACCGGATGGAAAACAGAAGACACCTCGTCTCTCCAACAAATACACTTTATTCGTGAGGCGCACATGAATTAGTGATAAATCAGGGGAATAGTTAAGTAGAAGTTGTATGGGGGTGTTAGTAATTGATCTACAACAATACCCAGTAATATACGTTCCAATAGCGCCGTGAAGGGAGCATACTAACGTGAATTGATCGCAGAAGTTCTTCGCAGATGATAGCGACTTGTATCGATTGAATCCATGGTGACGACAGATTTTTAATCGATTTTGTAGATTTACTTCCCTGCCCATGCGTAGAACTGTTTTCGTTTTTCATATGGAGGATGGCTTCGTTTTCCTGCCCACGCGTAAAATCTGAAATGACGGCTTCTTCAATATTTAAGCCATTTATTGCCATTTTAAAGTAGCCTATCTAACCCACATGTATATTCTTTTTTATTATGTTTCAAGTTTAGATAATGAAGCCTCAATAAGAAGCCAGTTCCTACGTTATTAGTGGTGGGGGGTAAGTGCCCAAGTGGGCAACAACCAGATTTGCCCAACAAAGCTGCATAATCTTGCATAATCTTTTCCTTCTACCGTCAGGTAAGATTCCTCAGGTGAAGTTCATCTCAACATCTGCCAGTTCACCTCTGATGATTCACCACAGAAATTAAGCAATAGACTGCCCGTGAGCAGCAGTGAGGCTATAGAAAGGCTGCCATTGGCGTCAAGCCTCTAATGCCAGTCTTTCAAGTCTATCAGTTTGTCTCAAACCAAAGTCGATGACATGAGCAATGGGTAGATGAATATGCGTGAGAAATTCGTAGACGATACCGTGCACGGTGACGTGGTTGAGTTCGGCCTTGAGGATAAATATAGAGTTTTTGGCATTAGTCGGTCCCAATTCGGGTTGCGTCCCGCATTTGCCTTCTTCAGAATCACAAAGGCGTATTGAATGTGTATTTGGCCGAATGACTTGTGGTGGTCAGGAGATGTACAAGTCAGTGCTTTTATCCTCTCAGACGAGTCTGGAACCAATTAAACGTTTCCGAAGGGATGAAAAGTCTGGTTGGTTAGGTATATAACGATCAGGAATTCGATCCTCGGACCATGAGTATGCGGTAGTGCGCCCCACTTCCGCTCTAAGTAAATTGGGATGATAATAACATTGGAGTAACTGTACGAGTAGAATAAGTTGATCAACCGCTGGTTGGACATTTTATATCGTTGCCAAAAGTTGAACATAGGTCTATCATGCTCCTACAGCCACCTAAGCAGTAAAAGTAGTTTCTCGATGAAAGTATTTATATCACTGAAACTGAAGAAGGCTTTGTATACCAACCCAGTCAGAGTGTTAGGGAGGGGGACAATAATCGGAGGGGGGGAGGGGAAATGGCCTTATGAGCAAATTGAGTGTTGCCTTTACGTCCGAGATCGTGAGCGCCTTTATTAAGAACCGTTTATAAATGTGATTTTTAAAGATTCTTCGACGAAAAACTCTTAGTTGATCTGGCGACACCTTTTCAACCCACACAAAGCCCTTATTCAGTTATTTGAGTGAAGCTTCAATCGGACACGGGATGTTGGCGCTTGTAGTCACTTAATTGGCAATTGAAAATGGTTCCTAATAAAGGGTAAAAAGGACTATAAAGTCGAATTCATTGCTATGAGAGCCTTATTAATATTCACGCAAAAGCTATAGTGTTGCCAATGTTATACATCTCACGGAACGGACAATGAAGATGAGATTAAACGATAGCGGTTTTGCCTTTGGTGTACGCCATGTAATCGACTTAAGTTTGAAGTCAAGTTCAGAGGTCATTTCATTCCACATTCGTTCGCCTTTGATACAGGCTTGAAGTAATAAGCAGAACGTGGCGAAGTTTTCATTATAACTTCTTCTTCGAACACGACAATGACGTTTTTGCCATATTTTAGGGCCTGAAAAGACGAAAATCACCCGGGAAACAATCTGTTCGAGCCATATTACATTTACAGCATTATATGGAGAAAATTACCCAGGTTCAATGGCACTCAAATTTGGTCAATGTAGTTTGGATTCCTCCATTCTATATATCCCCATAAAAAGGATGCTCCCCATTCGTGGCACTTATCTCTTTTGCTTGAATGTCCCTTGGGCTACATGCTGTTTTTCTCTGTGTATTCGACTCTAGTAAAGGATTCACTGGATTGAAATAGCGTGCTGGAAGGACTATCAGCAACAGTTTTCCAAGCCACAGGGTTAAATGATCTTTTACGGGATAGAACATCGATAGGATAGAAGCCTTCCTTGAAAGGAAGTCTCTGTTCGACAGGTGACCTGATTCTGTCCTTCCGACCTGATAAGGGTTCCTCCGATCCAAGGACGGACTGCTCTCCTTCCTTCGTTCTTGTAGAAGACTTCATCGATGAAGGCTGCTTTCAGGCCAACATATAATGTTTGGTTCATATGTTCAGTTTTTACGCCTGTCGCCGGAAAACAAGAACCGTATCGAATATAACGATAGTACAGTATCCAAATTCGGCACAGGAGTCATTTCTGTATTGTATTGGGATCGAGCTTTGAGTTCGCACTCGGCGTTCTGCCTTCACCCTGAACTCGAACCCCGGAAAAGGACTGCTTTTGTTGGGCAGTGCTAGCGTCTCGACCGTCTATGACACGCTCCCGAACTCGGAAGGATTTCTTCATGTCTCTACGAAGAAACTATAGCTTCAGGCTGGTTGGGACTTCCAAAGCGATTCCTTGCGAGTATCTCCAGTCTGCAGTATATCTCATGTCCATATTCATAGATGAATTTTTGCGCCAGCGTTACTGACGTTTTGCAGCTGTTGAATTCCATTTATTACTCATAGATTACCTTTCAAGGCCGATTAATCGAAGCGGGGAGATTGTCCTCAGAGGGATTCGCATGATTGAAAAGGGGTGGGCTGGCTTCTGGTTTCCGAGGGCAGTTCTGGAAGTCAGGGATCAGTGGCCTGGGAAGAGCCTTGGCTGACGTTATGAAATAAAACGTTGTTAAGGAAATCTACCAACACACTTTCGAAAGTCAGTTAAAGAAACGGTTTTCATAGGGAGATGGACCACACTGACGGAAGAACTGCAACTCTAGAACTTCGCGATGGAGGGGAAATAGAGTGAACTGAAGGGACATTTTTAAGCTATGGTGGAGGGAGGGGGAAGAGAATTTCATAATGTTGGTTGGTTTCGATGAATAGTCCTGTGAAGTCAAGCACTCTCCCGGACCAGCCAGACCTTACTGGTACCAGACTCGTCTGGGAGGATAAAAGCACTGACTCGCACGTCAGCTATCACCGCAGGTCTTTGTGTAGGCCACACACGTATCTAGAACGTCACTACAATCCTGAATGGAGGTCGAGAGAAGGGGTGCATACCCCACACGGGGTGAGCCAAAACTAGAGGACTTTAGCCTTCTTCCTTTCATAGCCTAGTTCGATGACACGAAAGGCAATAATTGAGCTACGAGACATTTGATTCAAATGCTAACAGAAAATTCAGGGTTCAAGAGACATTCTGACAGTAATAAAGTTCACGTACAGTTTTTTGATGTGGGGTTGGAAGCATAGGACTATCATCTTCCAGGTTCAGTAGTTCTCCAGGTAACGAAGAAGCCATTGATTCAATTTAACACTTTTAAATATGGACCAGACAGAATTGATCCACACAGATGTGAGAAGTGAATGCAATTCTGACCGTTCCTCAAAGATCCGTTAAGCAGCTTTCCCTTTAACTCTGTAGGATTACTTTTACGGGAGTTGCATATGCATTGTTGCAATGTCTGAATGGCATCATGCCACTTAGCAGCTCAGGCAGTCTATTCTATTCTGACACTAAATGCAAATAGAAACATTCTTGGAAAGGTTATCATAACGGGACGGGCCGGATTAGATGACCAGACGTATCTAGAGCTGGACTGGAGCAATGAATTAACTGGGAAACCTATTTTTTCCGTAATACCTCGAATCAAGTGAACAGTAAGTACGTGAAGGTACCAGGTAATTGAAAATCTTGGATCCATAATCCCTAAATGATTGGACACCACCTTTTTATCGAATGAGAGCGCCTACAAACTACCATTCGCAAGCAGACATAGGCTAGTGAATCTGTCCGCAATGCAGTAGCTAAGTGCTCAGGGAAAACTCTAAGACGACGTTTCAGGTTTTTCTGGATAAGAAACTTATCTTCTAAGTCAACCGGAACTTCATAGCTAAAGGAGTCTTTTATTCGCTAGCAAACCTGGTTGAATTATAAAAATTCTATAAAAAATTACGACAGAGGTTAAAATTTATAGGATGCATTTGGCTTTCTTTCCGGACCAACAATCCTTGAACGCGACTCTAGCCGATGTACAAACCAGGGCTTTTATCCTCCCAGACAAAGCTGAAAGGCTTAGTTGGCTGGGCAAATACGATCTAAAATTCGATCACCGGACCATGCATGTGTTAGTGCGCCTTTTGCCGCTACACTACCTCCGTCCCAGGAAATTTATATATGATACGGTTAATAAGTCCATAACAATTAAGTCTATAATACTGGCAGTGCTTGGCAAGGTAGACCCTATTGTTTCAAAGGCTATAGCTCGAGCAAATCCTGTTTTCATTTCAGTAACTCTCTAAACTCGCTTCACTTACTGTTTCCTCTTTGAATCAGAACCCTTCATCAGACTTGGAACGTACTCGCTGCTGCCGATGTCGTCCATGAAATATCGGCTCATCTGAATGAAAAAATTGATTTCCTTGATAGCATTCATAGGAATCATATTCACTGGAATACTGGGAAATGATCTAGATAGTTTTTGTCTTTGAGTTGCGTGTTTCGTTACTGTTTCTTGGTTTTAGTTAGAAACTGCTGAATTATTAGACGATATCAGCCGATTCCCTCAAATTCCATATTAGATCGTGCTTGACTTTCAGTTTTTGCTCTTCAAGTGGTTTCTCAAATGAAATCATTTAAGGCTTCCTGCGATGCACTATCACTGATTGCCTTACTTCGCTTGAAATGGCAAAATCACAATCACTTCTTAAGGAAGACGTGAAGTTTCTTCGTCACCCCTTCGTCATACTGGTTGTTATGCTTCCTTGAGAAGGAGTTCAAATGCTCGGGAGGACAATTTCCGAGCTAAGCTTGGATAATTAGATGTCCAACTTAGTTCTCATTCTATTTCTCCTAGGGAGATGTCCTTTCAGGGGCCTTATTTCTTTCTCAGAAACATTTCCAATAGAACTGGTACTAGCTGTAATTGCCATTATAATCAGATTAACAAAGGAGAGCAGATGGCCTATCCGTTTCTCGAACTCTGGCTAACGCCTAGATTGGCCCAAGGACTACTGGAGATAGGCTGTCGGCTGGTTATTTTTTTGCACCCAAGTCCAAGATGACCTGTTTCCATCGCCTAAGATCCGAGGAAGCCACTTCGGTAATTGCCTGGGAATTTCGGGCACAAATAGATTCACTGGAGAACTAACCGTGCTCAGCCTAGTGTAAACCTCATGTTCGACAGTAGTTGCTACCTTGCCACCATTCTAAAATATACAGATGCTATCCACTCACAGTATACAGTTACAGTATACTGATTATTCGAGATTCTAATTGATTAGGCAACAAAAGGCAAGCGGCTGACAGCTCTGGCTGTATTGTTCATTCTGTTGTTGAGAATGTATCCTGTTCTTCCGAATTGAGCCATTTACCAGGCTTTTTCTAATAAATAAAATCCCACCACGACCCAGCAGAATTTCATCAAAGATCTGGGTATTTCGACGATTTTGGATCGATTTAGAATCCATGGGAGATTCCATGAAGATAAATCAACACTGAGCTGTTTACTCTTCGTTCTTTATATGAAATCAGATTAGGGGCACTGATGACGCAGCTGAGTTCTTCATAGGCGCTTCCTCCCTCGTAATATAATCATCACGGGTATCATTTCCCGAGAATGGCTGACTATATCATCATCATCAAAGAAAGTATTACTGCTAAGGAAAGCATAATCGTGGACTGGACGCAGCTACATAGCTGTTGTGATATCTAGTGGATTAACAGGACAAAAGCATTCTGTGAACGGGAGGGTAGACAACCAAAGAACTGTCTGGCAAGTGTGTATGCTCTTAAGCTTTTTCCAAGATCTTGAACTTTACAGGACCGACGTTTCGGCAAGGTCGCTCTGTCAGAGCCTAAAAGTCGGGAACCCGTTTGAGATTGATTTTCTCATAAGACCAGACAAATCTAGGAAGCTTTCTAAACTAGAGACCACCGGAACAAGAGTCCTACGAGGCCTAGGGGTTAGAGTGTCCAGCAAGCGATACGGCAGTCAGATTATTTCATTTTCCAAGAAGGACAACCAACCTTCCGCAGAAAAATGTGGAAAAATGAAATTACTCGAATTAATTCGTATGATAATCGAGCCAGAATTTTCCCAGGGAAAATGCGAGCCATATCGAAGGTTACGACGTCGAGTAATAATCTACTGCAATGAGAAACTTGTAACTTTGATAAAAGGATATGTCTTATCTGCACTATGCCGTATTTCTTGCTGATCGGCCCTTTGCAGTGGAGCAGGAAACGGGTAAGATGAGATTCAGTCGAAAATGAACAGTTAGTGACAAGCCTTTTCTCAGAAGATAACTGCTGAAGGGGCGAAAGGAGCCGATAACGATGCTGCTTAAGGGGTGACAGTTAGGAAATTGAGTTTTAGTGGTAACAGTGTTAGTACGGAGTCGTTCAAACTCGACCCGTCAACAGAATGTCTTCACTGGAGAAGGTGTCAGAAATGCCATTTCATTACGATTCGAGAAAATCGAACGCTGTGATTACGGATGTTTAGGTCGTTTTATTCTAGTTCCTCCGCTCTGTGCCACTACTCAAACTTTTCGTTTCGTCCAGTTGCTACTGAGTTGGACAACTCAAATGATAGGACGAAAAAGACGTCACACCATCAGAAGGTTAGTATTTCCTCTGAGAACAAGTGATAAACCGAATTGTGGAACTGATCCTATGTTACTAACACATTTGCCTTTCGTGGTCCCATGAGTTAGATTGATAGGTCGGTGTCCCATGAGTTAGATTGATAGGTCGGAATGGACTAGTTAAATACGTTGCATACCAGCTTAGCCTTTGATTAGCAGTTAAGAGCAGATTGCTGGTATTCAATGTTCTTCAGCTTAGTCTTTCACCATTCAATTACTTCTGTGATTTTAGATAAAGTCAGATACGCGTCCTACTCTTCGTTGTTAGAGTGAACACGCATTTGAATACGTAGAACATATATCAAAGAATGTAATAGCTTTGAAGCTGGCACGAAAGAAATTGAAGCTGCCAGCCCTATCTTCAAGAATGACTGAGCTGTTCTGACCTTAGTCAGCTACATAAAGGATCCCAAGGAATCCTTCATGTAACTAAATAAGGACAGAACTGCCCAGTCATTTCTATTACCGAGTGGATATTTCTTGTTAGAACAATGATTAAGGGAAAATTCAAGAAATCTAGGTTAATTTGAAAATACCGTAGTTACCGTACCTCTGGTGAGAGTTGTTCCCTCTGACAGCTGACCAAAACGGCAAGCATAGCGATGAAGATCACTAGCAGACGTTGCATCGCTGGATGTGCGACGTGGAAATTCGACTGAACCCCTTCAGTCCCAACATCTCATCGTTCCGCCCCCTAACGAGTCCTATTGGTCAACTCCACCCACTTCATCGCCAATTCGCCCCGCCCACAAGATATAGCGAATTTGAGATGGCTCACGAGTAATTGTAGAGCTCAATAAGTAATACGAACAATCATATGAGTGTCATATGATTCCTGAACTTTTAAGCTGGCATCTCTTTGAAAAGTGTAAATTGTTCAGCTATTCAAATAGACAGCGAAAAATATTATTTTTTAATGATCACTAAGATTCCACTTGGATGTCTTACCACCCCCCTCCCCTCCTCTTCCCCTGTTTGGTATGGCAGCAATTACTCAACGATTAGGATGTATTAGGATGTAAAACGAACCGCTAGCATCCAAAAAAGTAGCCGTAACTCCTCAACTAACAATCCTAATTGACTTCATAACTGAAATGTTCCAAGAGTGCATGGCTACGTTAGCACAAAGAAAGCTCTTGACTTCAATGTATGTCATCGCGATGTATCCAACAAGGCTCTCATGATTTGGAAGGTCACAGAAAATCGCAATGGAGGGCACAGTGCTGAGTGGAAACACCTTAGAAGCTGTATTTCGTGAGATTACAAGATATTGAGTTTAAATGTGGCCTGGTCTGACCGTTCTAGATACCTGACAATAATTGATATTCAGAATGGTTGGTATCAGTACTGATCGGTATCTCGTAAACTTATGAAATACAGCTTCTGTGGCTTTTTCCGTTTAGCACTGTGGTCCACTGCCATTTTCTATAAGACTCAAAATTAGCTAGTTCAAGGTTCACAGAAAGAATAACAACCGGCTAAGGATGGATATGGATGAAGTATATAGTTTTAGGCATGATCAAGCCCGTCCTTGTGATGTGCCCTAGCATTCGAATTCCGTTCAGAATCGCAGTGGCGTTTGAATGCGTACGTGACCTATTCAAAGAATTAAGAAGGTCAGCCGATGAATGAGTTAGTGCTTTTGCCCTTCTGGACAAGTCTGATACTGGACGTTCGACCCCGGAAGGATGTAAGATTTGTTTGTCCTAGGAGGAATCGAGCCAGGACCCGATCCCTGCGAGAAGCGTTTGTGATAAAGCGCCACTTGGTACTACACCGCCTTCACCCTTAATCGGCTGATACCATTTAAAAGCTATTGACCTTCCTAAAGGATGACCTGAAACGCTACAATATGAATAAATATGGTCCTAAAAGGAAATCCATCAGGGCCACGCATCACACTAAATCATCACCTTTAGAATGATGATGAGCATCGTGGGAGCCCTAGGTTGGTAGAGATCAAAGGCAAACCTGCCTTCTGAACGGTCTCGAGATGAATTAGTGAGGGAGCTGGATATCAGCAGACTGACCGTCCGTGTATTGAGTGAAATAAGGTCGGAAAGTAATTAACACCGAAGGGAAAAGGTACAAGTACATGAGAAACTTCATTAGAGAACGTACTCCGTGGTGGTTGCGGAATAATGTGGTTAAGAATTCAGTGTAGCATTTATTTACTAACTCGAATAAGAACCTCATCTCTGGCAGAGCTGATATTGGATGTTAATTTTTACTATGAGTGGACTAACTGAAATGTGATTGTGAACATTCTTCTTCACTTTCGAATCGCTGTACCGAGAATTTTCAATGTGAAGCCCACATGCCCATAGGACAACGTACACAATGACAGGTTTTTGATCAGCGAGCCTTCCACCGAACCCTGGTCTTCACATGTACTGAGGACCACTGTAACCATTTGTTGATGTACATATCTCCCATGAAGGTATTGATTAGATTAAGTTTCCTGTTCTCTGATACATGCTATTTTAGGCGTCCAATAACAAGTTTATTTTCAAATCAGAACATCCTATTTCACCTACGCTGCTCTGAAATCTAGGAATCTATGTAGGTTTCGGTCCAAACTAACTATGCATCCGAAAGTAAAGAAGAATACCACAAATTCTCTCCCCAAAAACTTCCAAAACAATATGGCATGACTGCTGTATAATGAAGTTGTCTTGCTGACCTCTTCATGCCTTTTTTATTAAATCTGCAGCAGAGGTTCTATGTAGACGTTTGGTCTGGAAGTCAACCACAACTTGTTTTGTTCCTTTCGAAGTCTCAAGAAGGCGATCTCTCCGAACTGCCAGCCTAATACAGGCTGTATGAAAGCTTGTGAGGAGCTCAGAAATCAAATTCTACTTCTAATACTGTTTCTTCTAGGTAAGGGTGCAACGTGGAACATGAGCGATTTCTCTTCTCATTCCTTTTTTCTTTTTGTAGAATGAGCAATCGAGTAAACGATTTCCCATGGAGACTAGGCTAATGGATTGAAATGCAGTAGTAGCCTTTTTGAAAATCGTCCATTTCCAATGCCTGGCCACATGCTCGATAATGCGCCCAAGGAAACGAGCACAGAGAAAACTCCCTCCTTTAGGTTCTCTGATGAACTAGGTCACATGAAGCTATATCCTGACCTATACCAAGGCACATATTCTCGTTCCTATAGAGCTTTTATCTCGAATAAAGCTATGGGCTAGTGCTCGCTCATGGGATGGCTCAAAGAGGAAAAGAGTGGGATGTTGGGGACCGCCACGGGGGCGGGGGGGGGGGGGGGGGGGGGGGGGGGAAGGAAGAGTGAGAGGAATCGTTGCGGGAAGGAGATTCAAGAAACGTGCAAGGTGAGTCACGACGAGGGGAGAAAGTACCGTTGGAAGGTGTCGATGACTGAATCACAGAGAAACAGTCATGGATTATAAGCAATTAAATGGATAGCATGCTTACCCTCATATTTTATCCAAAGGTACCTGTTGAATTGAAAAGGTTTAGAAATTGAAAAGGTATAGAATTCCGTCTCCTTTTTTTCCCACCATTGCTCCGACTGCAATCTCTTAATATCGAGCTGAACGGTTCCATAATGGTTATGAAAAAGAGATTGTAAAAGAAAGCTTTCTGCCTTTATAACTCATATCTCGAATCCAATAGCCTCAAAAATTCCAGGGTCGTTGAACCATGTCAGACCACTTTTCCATTTCAAAGTAATCGCAAATATTCATTATCTTGATGCTATCTTTGTGAAAAAGGAACAAGGAGTGCTCACAGGCTTTCCCAGAAGCCAGGGAAGATTTTAATCGCTCGCTTGGCAGTCAAATTTTCATACTTATGGTCTTCCATCCCTTCCCTGTTGGACGGATAAAAAAGGAATAGACAGGGAATCCCCACGACATTTGCTCGATGATAGAAAAGCGGCCTGCTCATATCACTCGGGACCCTCTCGAACCTATTAAATTCGCCAACTTTTCCGACAGCGTAAATCCACCGAATCGAAAATTAACTCCTCATCTCGAGCCCATTATCTATTCAACTTCAACTTCAACCAACCAACTTTAAAACTTTCAACTACTGTCTGCAATCAAGGGTAGTGATCCTGTTCGTGGCGCATTCCAATAGTTCAATCAGCAGAGGTTTTCCATCCCAATATTTTCGCCTCTTATGTGAACATGACTATGTCACAAAGTGCAGAGCACATCCGTACTAACTGAATAACGATATCACTGAATTGATGCGAGTAGCTAAGTGTCGTCGAAGAAAGGATTTTTTCAACATACGCATTCGAAAAACCAGGATGTTCATCAATGGGGCTTGTCAGGGCTGCACCCACAGCACTTTCAAGCTCAGCTATTTGATACTAGTTTTCAAGTTGTGGGGAACTAGAGCAAGAAAGCTTTGGTGAGCATTGGAACTCTATGACTTTATCCATTGACCCGCTGATCTTACCATTAGTATAGAATAAAATTTTACATTCGAATTTCGCACTTACAATCGAACTGCTCCTAAACTTTGACTTCTCCTATGTAGCGGTGTATTCTGAATGCATACAGTTTTTTTCTACATTCCGCGTGATATAGTTGAGGTGTTGGTATTGGTATTGGTTGAGCCGGTCTTCTTTTTCGTGCTCATTTTTTTCCTACTGGAATACAATCCCCATGAGGAGACCAGGAAGGAGGAGACCCAAGATTCTTTCGGCATTGTAGATGATAGGATATTCACTCTTACGCCCCGCCGAATTCGTATTCCTTGAGACATTTGTTGATTGTACAATTTTACCTAGTAACAGTGGAGTGGTTGTAGAATCAATTGAGTAATTCGAACGGCCTGGGAGTGACTTGAGAGCCATGTTTTTGGATAAGGTGAAGAACATTTTTGAACATGTTCTCCAACTGCCCGCCGGCCCAAACCTTATTGTTCCAATGCTAGAAAATTTTGTATAATGCTGCTCAAAATTCAACCCAAACTTCCTCCCTAGAGGTCAAGTTCATAAACAAGAACTCCTTGAAGAAATAGCTGGTCCCTACTGAGAAATGGCTTGTTTTTCTGAATACTGAACTCCCAGTTGTCACCTGCAAAGTAGCATTCATCACTATTTCCGAGTTCCATGAAGACATCGGTGAGCAACTGCGTACTCAAGTAATTTCGTTGAGTAGCACATACTTTATTTGAACAACTCCACTTGCCCACCAACACTTCCTGAATAATTAACTTCCGCTAGGCGTGATCATGGGCTAGGCGATGAAAAGCTTTCGAATGAGACCAAGTGGAAGCATTTTGCAGGATTGCAGGTAAACATTTAAAAAAATACTCGCTACTCTACATCGACTGCTGTAATCCGAACTACGGATAGTAAGACAATGGAGAACAAAGGCGAATGGTAAGTGGTTAGAGTGTGTCATGAAGACTGTGCTGGAAGCCCTTTTGCAGTACTGCTTCCCTTAGTAAATCTTGACAGAGAATGGTGATAAGGGCGTCCTTTCCTGTTATACCTTTTTCTGATTAACTCTTAGCGATTTCCTGGAAATCTTAAGAGAATTCGGAAAGCTGAAGTCTAGCATGCACTTGGGATCACTGCAGTGTTATTGCTCTATCCCACCAGAAAGAAACCCTTGAAGAGAGCTGCGCTGAGCTCGAAAATTGGGAGTTCCACGTCAATGGTAACATGGGTGGCGTCGTTGCGGTGGAAGACCTGCAAACGGTTGGTAATTAGATCATCACAAAAAAGGTCCCTTGAGTATGTATAAAGTGGAACTTCTCAGTGTGAACGTTTCCTTAGTTTTGAGAGGATCGACACCGCTGAGGACCCAAGGAATTCTAAGAAGGAATGGGGAGGGGGACAAGGGTGGAAACTTGAAGGAATGATCAGTTACGAGCACCTTGTCTCATTTCTTCCTGTTACATTGAGACAGGTGAAACATTGAAGCCGCTAATCCTGGAAACGCACCTCCTCGAATCAAAAGCTCTCAATTAGCCAGAGGTCTCCAAGGTCAGACGAGGAGAAGATAAAGGCATAAAGAATAAAGTCTTCAGACGTTGATCGATCCCCTCTGAAGTATCTGCCACCGCATTCGACTTTCATTAAGAATCGTAGTGGCGTAGTGAATGCGTATGTGGCTTATACGGAGACTTGGGTGGCCTTTCGATGTATAAGTCAGTGCTCCTATCCTTCCAGACGAGTCCGGTACCAATTAACCGACCTCGAAGGGATAGAGACTTAGTGGGTCTAAGCGAATATCGGTCCGAGATTCGAACCTGTGACAATGAGTGCGTGATGGTGTGCCACTTGCCACTACACCACCTCCGCCCTAGGAAAGAAGATATCTTGAAAAATTCTAGTCGCTTCTGTGGATTGGTGTTCATATACGTAGACGGCAGTGTATTAGAAATCGCATGTGGAGGACAAACTCAGAAACGGAATTGAGTGACGACGAACGACCTCATCCATTATGCAGTGAAGCCAACTAATTCATTTCTCGTAGTGGGGTTCACCCCTTTCCATTTGTTTACCTGGATTCTTAACGATGACGTCACAGTATTTTTCAGGTTGAGTAGTTCGAGGGAGCAATTCGTGCGATTCTCCCAGCAATTTAATGAAGCTGTGTGACTTTCAATTTGCCAGTTTTTGATCACTTACAGGTTGTGTTTGAAGCAGGTTTACCTTTGGTTTGCAGATGTTTTCGGATACAGCGCCATACGAGGGTACTTCTTAAACCAACTCTCCCCTTTTCTTTTTCATTCCTTTGCATTGTTCACGGTGATTCCTTTACAAATTCAAGACTTTCAGCTTAAACATCGGGATGAGGCTGGAATAATTCTTGGCTCCTCTGTGAGAAAAGTTTTCAGAATTCAAGTAGCGTTCAAAAGGCAAAGTTGATAAGCATTCCTCCACAAGTAGCAAATTCCGTGAAACTTTCGTTCAAGGTCTTCCTACTTTCGTGAAAAAAAGTCGGACAACGGTAAAAGGAAATCCCATGGCTTCATGTACTTGAAAGGCACTTACACTGAAATGTTATGGGAATCACTTTATGCAAATTTCTCACCAAAATGTGATACACTTGCTCTTGGCTTTCTCTTGTGCACTTTGGGATGAAAACAATGGGGGCTCTACAACTTACCCATTTTTTTTATTAAATAACAACTTTTACAATCCCATTCCGGTTACATGACATGTGCACAGCTCATCCTATAGCCCAGCGTGGCTAGGACCC